GGGTTTACCTGGACCCCAAATAACCTGCCTTTGTCAGGACTTATGTAAGGAATCCTAAAGAGTAACCCTAAAAAGGAAGGTTTTTATAGTGTCTGGGTAGGGCTTAGGCCGGTGGGGTTTAGAGCTGAGCTCAGGGTCTAGGGCTGAGAGCCTTTTGGGCTGAAAGCCGAGCTCAGGGTCTCCATTTGGCTTAGGGCTTAGGGCCTACTATAGGGGCCTTCATAATTGACTATACTGTCTGGGGGGGGGTTCTGTTTATAGTTATAGTATACTGTTTTGGGGTTTCCCTTGTTATAGTTATAGTATACTGTTTTGGGGTTCAGTTATAGTATAGTATACACCACAACCCTTTTCGAAATATTAAGGCCCCTACAATGTTTTCGGGCTTAAAGCTGAGCTCAGAGTTGGGGCTTCATGTAGGGGCCTTAACACTTACAATGGGGTTTTGGGGTATATTTTTCTATAACTTTAATGAGTACACCCTAAACCCTACACCCTATGTATAATTATAATAAGGAGCAACCAAAGCAGTATAGATAATTGTTCCGGCCACTACCTTAGGTTTTGAAGTATCCGGCTTCGGGTTCAAGGCTCAGGGCGAAGGTTTTCGACTCGCACGCTCGGACGCGGCTTCCGGCAATCCAGCACTCGCAGAACGACAGGGCAAAGGTTCTAGGGTTCAGGGTTTGGGGATTAAGGTGCTGGGGTTTAGGGTTTTAGGGTTTTAGGGTTTAAGCTTTTAAGGGTTTAGGGTTCAGGGTTTAAGCGTTTAAGGGCTTAGGGTTTAGGGTTTTAGGGTTTAAGCGTTTAAGGGTTTTTGGGTTTAAGGGTTTAGGGTTTAGGCCTTTAGGGTTTAAGGCTTTAGGGCTTCGGGCTTATGAACGTTGCAGACGGGTTCGAGATGGGGCCTTGCCCTTCGGTGGCCGGAGGCCCAGCCGCGTTATCGACCACCGTGAGGCTGCCAGCAGAGGGGTCGAAAGCAACCTGGAGCCTTGGTCGGATGCGATTTTGCATTCGGTGATCTACGTTGAATCTACATGTCGCTCTCTCTCTCTCTATTATATTATAAACATATATATATATATATACACACACATACATTCATGTGTCTATCTGTGTCTGGGTTCTTAGTTTTCCGATAGAATAGTTGGGTGCTTGTGCTTTACGGGGGTTGGCTGTTGTGTGGTCTTTAGGGTTACAAGCCAACCCGGATCAAAACTTCTGGTTTGTTGCTTCGAATTGTTGTGTCGGGGGCAGCCGGGGCGGGTGGGCTGTAGGCTGTGGTGCTTTGGAGCTACCTCTTATTTGTTTGTTTACCTCTCTCTCACTCTCTCTCGCCCTCTTGCTCTCTCTATCTCTGCCTCTGTGTCTGTCTCTCTCTCTCTCTCGCGCTCTCTCTCTCTCTCTCTCTCTCTCTCTCTCTCTCACTCACGGACTGAGTCACCTGTCAGCGGCCACGCAGAACACAGCGATTTCACCAGGTACCTTTACCTACAAAGGCATGCGAGAACTAAGCACTACTGAAGCTACAAAGACTTCAAATACATAGCACCCAGTCATCCTGAATTTCTTCTACGCCGACTTGAGGTATACCCTAAACCCTAAACTTAAGGTATACCCTATTATAAACCCTAAACTTTAAACCCTAAACCTTAGACCGTTGCACGTAAAGGCTTGAGGGCTTCGGGATTTTGGGGGTTTAGGGAATCTTTGGGCTCAAGGGGCCGCAGGGCTCTCTCGAAACTTTGGGCTTAAGGGTTCATGGCGCTTCTGACTTTGGGGTTCCTGAGGTAGTCGTTCGAGATTTAGGTTTAGGGTGTAGGGTTGAGGGTTTAGGGTTTACCTTAACCCCAATGAACCTACCTTTTAAGGACTTATATAAAGAAATGATAATAAGGGGCCCTAAAAAGGTAGGTTCTTCAGGGTCCAGGTAGGGCTTTCGAACTCAGATCGTTGTGCCTTTTTGAGGGTTTAGCTGAGTCGCTGCTGGCCGCAGTTCGGGGGGACGGTGACGGTCAACTCTCGACCATCCGGCACCTGCTCAGGGATACTTAAGGAAGCCTTTGATCGGCTCAACAGGAGCATGGGTTTAGGGTTTAGGGTTTAGGGTCTAGGGTTTGGGGTCTAGGGCTTGGGGTCTAGGGTTTAGGGTTAGGGTTGAGGGTGTTTCCGGAAGGTTCTATATATACGATTACATGCCAGCTGATAGTAGGCAGTGCGCTCTTGGACGTCCCACGATGATATTTCTCATCGCTAATCCGAGGGCTCCAGTTACCCAAATAGTAGTTTACTAACCATCCGTTTTACGTCCCATACCTTAAAAACCCCAAACCCACATTTTTGTAGGTTCTTATCATAAACCCTAATATGGGATTTATATGGACCCTACAAAAAAGTAGGTTTTGGGTTCTTAAGGTAGCCGATAGCCTACTATTTAAGAAACTGGAGCTCGAGGCATTTCCTGCCAAAAAAACTCCAATGCCCCCTCCCCCCCCCAATGTCGAATCTAGACTATAGAATCGACCCCCGAACCCGACACCCCAACACCCCATTTACCAATGTGACCCGTAAAAATATGCAACATCGCCGCAAACGGTCTGTGCGACACTTATACTACAAGACCAAAACTAAAAATCTACGGAGTTTATAAACTCATTATGTAGAACATGCCCTACAACATCCGCTAATGCCACAGAGCCTTACAACAACCCACAAAAAAACAGAACGTTCAAGACTCCCTACATGCCTTCTGATTCTAGCAACCTCCAAAACCATAAGCCCCCAAATCCCGACTAAACCATAAACCATGGGCGCTAAACCCCCAAACCCTAACCACTAAACCCTCTCTCTCTCTCTGTCTCTCTCTCTCTCTCTCTCTCTCTCTCTCTGTCTGACATTCGAAACGTCAGCTTGGCTGCAACCCCTAAACCCTAAAGCCCTAAACCTGAAAATCCTACACCCTAAACCCCTAAACCCTGAACCATAAAGCCCTAAACCTAAACCTAAACCCTAAACCCTAAACCCTAAACCCTTAACCCTAAACCCCTAAAGCCCTACACCAATAAATCCTACATCCTCCTCTCGAGCGCCAGGGCGCCCGGACTCCCAAAAGCTGACCCGGCTTCACGCCATCGGGCACGGGGATGCTCAGGAGCAGCCTCAGAGTTCGCTTGGGGTTTTTTGGGTGGGTTTAGGGTGTAGAGTTATAGGGTTCAGGGTTCAGGGTTTAGGGTTTAGGGTTTAGGGTTCAGGGTTTAGGGTTTAGGGTTTAGGGTTTAGGGTGTTCGCTTGAGGTTCCCTAGGGCTCCAGTTACCTAAATAATGCGTTACTGGGGTATATAATAGATGGTTAGTAACCTACGATTTAGGCAACTGGAGCCCTAGGGGTTTGGGGTGAGTTTAGGGTTTAGAGTTTAGGGTTTAGGGTTTAGGGGTTTGGGGTTTAGGGTTTAGGGTTTAGGGTTTAGGGTTTTGGGTTTAGGGTTTAGAGTTTAGGGTCGAGGACTTTGGGTTTAGAGTTTCGGGTTTGGGGTTTAGGGGTTCAGGGATGTACCGTCAGTTCACTGCCTTGTCGGGAGCTCAACGAAACTTACCGGAGGCTAAAGCATCCTAAGCCCTACAGTGCTATAGACCCTGAAACCTAAACCCCAAGCACTGTAAACCCGAAAACCCTAAAACCAAAGTCCCAAACCGTAAGCCCTATAAACCCTAGAACCGAAAACCCAAAGCCCTGTAAAACCCAAACTGCCCGAACTGAGCTACCAATCAGTGCTCTGCAGATTGATGGTTGGGGAGGGTTTAGGGTTGAGGGTTTAGTAAGACATGAGGCTCAAAAACCTTATATACTGTAGATCATAATAGGACTTGCTCCTTCATGCAAGAACCCTACGTGTCGAATGTTTGGGAGGCTTTGTGGGGAATCTGGAGCTTGGAAAAGTCGTTGGCCCCCAAGGGGGGCCTTCAGGATGTAGGGTTTAGGGTTTCGAGTTTAGGGCTTATAGGGTTCAATCCTAGAAACCGTAAGTGCCTTAAACCACAAAATCCACGGCAGGTTGAAACGATTCGGGTGCGTTTGGGTTAAGTTCAGCTCTCCCCACCGAGCCCGATTCCTTTCTTGACAGCCCTTTTTGAACCTAGACTCTGTTGATCAGCTGGGAAGCAGCACTGCATGATTTCATTCTGGCCAGCACTAAACCCTAAACCCTAAATCCTGAACCCTGGTACTTGGAAGAATTGCTGCCAGATGAATCGAGCAGTCCCCAGAAGGAGGGTTTAGGGTTTAGGGTTTAGAAACGCAGGACCGTTCCAACGTAAGCATCGCTCCCACCTAATCCTCAAGACAGACTGCCCTAAACCCAAGAACACGGCCTTTTTCAAAAGACTATGTGGAAGAGCAACTTACCAGAAACTCCCTGGAACAGTCATAACACGAAACCCGCAACCTTAATCCGTAGAAGCCCTATACACCCTCATCCTCAACCCCATACACCCTGAAAGTCCAAGAGGCTGCTGCTGGGTGGGAGGCGCCGGAGCTGCAGGAGCTGCTGGGGGGGCCACGGGACCTGCTGGGGCCGCCGGCGCTGTTGGCGCTGCCGGTGCTGCCGGCGCCGTGGGGTTCTGGGGCAGGACCTGGCAACGGATCTTTGAAGGATTTCTGCTTCGGAGCTCCCATCCATGTGCGTCTCACAGTGCAGGATGTCAACAAGTCTATGTGTGTGTAGGTATGTGTGTGTGTGTATGTATGTGTATATATATATATATGTGTATGTATACGCTGGAACTTATTTGTAGTTTTATGAGTGTCTGTATATCTGTTTATATATATATATATGTTTTTGAATAAGTTATGATATGTTATGTTGCGCTATGCTTTGTTGCGACATGTCATGTTTTGCGATGATATGATACAATTCATGCTGCATGAAAGGATATATGCGATACTATATATTCTGTTACATGTTATCTGTATATGGTATGGTGTGTTGTGTTGTGTCGTGTTATGCTATGCTATGCTACATATTCTGTTATATGACATGACACAGGTTGTGATCTGTGTTATGATCTATGTTACGGTATATGCTATGATATATGTTTTGTTTACATATGGTTTGGTGTGCCATGTTATGCTATGCTATGTTATGTTATGTTATGTTAAACTGTCAGCTATTCATGCATCCCTACAATTGGAAGCCTAACCTCGAAGCCTCCAACTTCCAAACCCTAAACCATTGCAAACTCTAAACCTTAGAGGCCCCCTAAACCTACAAAGCTTGAAGCCCCGATAGAACTCTTAGAGGAGAAAGCCTAGACCAGAAAGCCACCAAGTCCCCAAACCCTTACCCTGGTTGGTAACTTCTGAAGGGCTTATACAAGATAGGGTTTACGCTCTCGCAACTCGGGCAGAAGGTACTTGGAGGCCTCTTCGGGTTAGTAATTGGTTAGTGGACTTAACATCTGCTTGGCTGACTTAGGCTAAGTGACTCAGAGGAGTTAATTGTCAAGACTTAGCTCGGCACTTGAACTGACTTAAAATTTGTCAAAAAGGAGAGTTACAGTATGTCACTAAATAGACTTCTGCGAAGTCAGATAAATGGACTTAGCGGTGACTTGGCCTAAGTCGGCTAAGTCGACATAGCCGGCAGGGCCAGGCAGGTCCAAACGAGGCATTTCCAGTTCTAAAGTTGTATTACAACCAAGCACAATCCAGCCAGGACCCGGAACCGAGGCATTTCCAGTACTAAAGTTGTACTACAACCCAGCACAATCCAGCCAGAACCCCAAACAAGACACCTCCAGTACTAAAGTTGTACTACAACCCAGCACAATCCAGCGAGGACACCACACGAGGCATTCCCAGTACTAAAGTTG